GCAGAGAACGGGGCGGGAGGACCTTAGGAAAGCCGGGCAGACCTTGTCCACCAGCTCCTTCGCCTTCCTCCTGGAGCTGTGCTGGCCCCCGGCCAGCTCTCCCACGTATGATCCCTATTCCACCTCAATCCACTTCTACAACCAGAGCCCACCTGACCCATGCTGAGTAAACACCTGACACATGTCTCCTACTCGTTGTCTGTGTGTGAGAGAAGCAACCTCACCCCTGTATCCCTGAGAGCCCTGCAGGGGAGGGGCTCATCCATGCCTCCCACCTCACCAAGTATCTATTCAAGCTGGGCAGAAGAGGTACCTGTCCTGGAAGAAGGGAAGGATTGGGAAGACTTCCCAACAATATATTTCACCTTTTTTTTTTTTTTTAATTGAATTTGTAATAAAGGAGGTAGTGAGGGGTGGAAAGGAGACATTTAGAGTCAGAACTCATATTAGACGGTGGGGAGAGAAAAATTAAATTAAATCAACAAGTGGAGGAGTCGGGGAGAGCCCACCTTTAAACATCAAATCAAGAAATCTGGGGGAAGCAAAGGATTGGGACAAAGGAGAACTGGGCACCTGTCTTTAATCTGTCCTCCTCCAGGGTGGGGAATGACTGCGCTACTGGACCAGCAGTACAGAGCAGCAGGCACCCCATCCTAAGCAGACTGGTCACTCTTCCCCACGGCCTCCTGAAGGAGGCTTTGGCCAACAGAGATAGGTCATGGAAGTGAGGGGGTGCTCCAAAAGCAAGGAAGGGCCAGCAGGGACCCCCAATACTGATTCTCCTCTAGCTAGAGGTGGGCAGGGTGGAGACATAGCTCAAATACTGAGCAGCCAGAAAAAGAAGAAGATGGCGAGAAACAGGAAAAGGGAATCTTGCCAGCTGGAGGCCGGGTGTCCCTGTCCCAGATCCACACCTGTAGGAGAAAGGAAAACTTCAAAAGCATGCTTGCAGGCCAGGAGAGGGCCCTGGCAGGAACCTGGGGAATGCGCTTACCTGCACCCCTGCGGAAAGGCTCGTGGGCATTGAACACGGTGGTGAAAAAGCCAAAGGGAAAAGCACCAACACCAAATGAGAAGTGAAAGCCCCCGGCATCACCAAATGGCTGGAACCCCTAGGGAGGCAGGAAGATCAGGGAAATCCACAGGCTTTGGCACTGGAGGGACACAGCTGGACAAGGAGACTCACCCCTCGGCTCTCTGGAGCTGGTCGCTGGCCCTGGGGGCGGGGTGGAGTTCTCAATCTGAGAGGAAGAAGAGAGGGAATCAGCACCTCTTCGACACTCTCTCGGGACAGAGGTTCAACCTTCCGTCCACACTGTGTCCAGTCTCCCACCTGGGATCCTGGGGCTTCTGGCTCCCTCGTCCATACAGAGGGACGACATTCTCCCTGCTGATGCCTGCTTTACACACGGGGCACTCTTGCCTGTCTGGCCGTGTCTCCAGCCACTGGAGAGAAAACAGGGAGAGTTTTCAAATACAAAGAGAGTCTTGGAGCTCCTCAGCCCTCCCCATTTCCCTGTTCATCTCATGAACACATACCTGGTGAAGACAGGGCCAACTGGATGGAGGAAAGAGAAAAAGACAAAACAAAGAAAACAGGTCAAACAACGGAGAAGAGCCACAGACCCCAGACAACAGACGCCCCCTTCACCAGTCTCCGGGTATCGCCTGCTACATGGCTGTTTCTTTCCACATTTTCTACAACCTCTAGCATATTGCTAACTTGATTTCTCCAACTTCTCTCATCTCAATATCTAAAGTTCCTCCCATCCTCAACACATTCGATGCTCTCTTCTGTCTAGCTATCTTTCTATCTACACACACACACACACACACACCCCTCCCTCAGCCTCTCCATTTTCTGCCTCTTAACTTTTGATTCCTCAATTCATCAGGTTTCTTTTCAGCCCCAATTGCATTCTTGCCCCATTCCTCCACACTCCCATCATTCCAGCTCTACTGCTCCTTTCCCTCTCACTTCAAGCTCAATAAAATCCCTATCTCCATGACCTTTTGACTTCTCCATCTTGCCCTTCCACAATGCCTTTGTCCTTGGGTTTGACACCCACCCCGCAACACACACACACACACACACATCTTAATGTGGATCCATAGTCCCTACATCTTGCCCTCCTCCGACGAGGGGCACCTCCCTTAGACTGAAAGTCTCTCTCCTCTGTTTTTATGTTAACAGCTGGGTAGATCTAACGGGGTACTGTGGCTCAGGCCTCACCAGCACGAATATGCAGTGTCGCCCATTCCCCATCCCACCTCCTCCTTATAACATGCCACATATGCACCAGCTCTTAAGACCCTCCGCTCCAGACATCTCATCTACACAGACGTGATTACACACACACACACCAGCAAAGACACAAGTCCCCACCTCAGGCCTCCCCTGCGTGTGTGTGTGTGTGTGTGTGTGTGTGTGTGTGTGTGTGTGTGTGTGTGTCGGGGAGACACATGTCCTCGGGTCATCGGAATAACTGCATGGGCCCGCTCCCGGCCTCCCCATCACAAAGAGGAGCCCCACCGCCTCATCCCACGCTCCTGACTCGGATTCTCACCAATACAGGTGGCCACACACGCTGACCACAGCTTCGCGAGCCGTCTCCAGACATATATTACATTCGAAGGTCGCGCCCGCCCCGCCCCGCTCGCGGTTTGGCCCTTCGGGGCCCCCGTCCTCTTCTTCCGCTGCTGCCATGGTCGATTCTGTTTCGCCCCCACGTACCCCTCAGTACCCCCAGACACACACACATGTACACTTACATACAGCACACACACACACACACACACACCCCAACAAACCAGGACCGCCTTCTGCCCACGATCGTTGGGCAGACTTCAAGGTTTTCTCATTACTATTGGTCGAGATGCCTGCCAATCATACAGGAGTCAAAAGACAGGATGGAGCTAAACAGTGGGGGCGGGAAAAGGCGTGTGGGTCCTACCCTTGCACGATGATGATTGGCTGACAGAGCGTCAGTCACTATGCAGCGCCAAGGGATTGGTAATAATGCGCTCTGCTAGGGAGGCTTTGACTCGTCTGTGCAGCTGCCAGTCATACCCAAAGCTCTGAAGGGATTGGCTCGGGCCTGCAGAACTCGTCCACTATGAGCCGCTTTCTTTCCTTCTCTTCCGCTTTCGAAGAATGTCCGGGTTCCTATTGGACTTTAGAGCGTATGGTTCCTAATCAAATGATTGGCTGGAACGACACGGGGGGGGGGGGGGGGGTGCTACAGGAAACGAGCATGCGCAATAAGCGGGTCGGGGCGCGGGGGGGGGGGGCGTGGAGTGGACCAACCCGACGAAAGCTGAGTCGTCGCCATGGCAACCCCTCCGCTATTGGCGGGGCCTACGGTTCAAAGGCCTTGGCTGGGCTTCATCCGGGTCTTCCGACGCGGACTCTCTCCCGGTTTGATTGGGCGGTTTGCTGAGCCGCTGATTGGCCGAGACCTCGAGAGCCGGTGCTGAGCTCGGGAAAAGAGGGCAGAAGTACCGGGGTCGCGGGGTTCAAGATGGCTCCGGCCTTCTTGGGTGACGTAGAGGGCAGAACCCGGGTCCGCCCCTCCCTCTCCGAGAAGCAAGCAGCGGGACTGGGACTAGCCCGACGTGTGGATGGTGCGGCCGTCGGTCTGCGGCGCTGGCGTTAACCCAGCTCTCTCGGTGGGACGACTCCGCCTCTCTAGGTGATCCTCACAGCAGAGCCGAGCCTCAGGCCCACCCGCCCCCGTTGTAATGTGACACGGAGCCGATCACAGTGGACCTCAACCCCGTCTTAAGTCCCAAGAGCGGGAGAGGTCTGGTTCCACCTCTTGAGGAGCGGGCGCCCGAGGGGCACAGCCCGCCCCGTGGGTGACCGCGGCAGGATGGAGTAGGTCCGCCCCTTCCTTGTAATTTGCCCTGCAGAGCTTTGGATCTCTTCCCTGGCTGGACCTCTGAGAGCTTGGGTCCTTTCAACAGTCAGTGACCCATACGGTGGCACAAGACGCAGAGTTAGGTAACAGTCCTCCCACTACCAAGGGCTCTCCACCAAGCTGTGTAAACTCATTCAGGGCAAAGGTGTCCCGGGGCGGGAGACAGAAACAGACTAAGGACTGCCCCAACACCTTGATAAAAGTGCCTGTGTGACTGAGGAATAAACAAAGGTGAGCAGCTGGGACTCAATATAGGGTAAGCGAAGATTCTGGAGGACTGAAGAGGTTTAGATACAGAAATGGCGAATGTGGAGCTAGAAGAGATGGACCGGTCCAGAGATGAAGAAGAGGGAAGCCAGGCTTGACCAGCAGGCTACATGGTTCATCCCATCATTTTATTACCCCTAGGAAGCAGTGTTTTATTGTCCAAAGTCTCGTTGTAGCTCAGGCTGGCCTCAATTCAGGGATGCTCCTGCCCCGGGCTCGCAAATGCTGCTATTACAAGCGCATTCCACCAAAGCCAGCAGCTAGCTTCTGTGTTGGGGGAAGGGGTTGGCTCAGACTGAGTGAATGAGGGAATCAAAGTACTTAGGCAAGCAAGCATGTAAGGGAGAGAAGGGCCCTTTATCTTGGAAGGCCAAAGGTGGGTGGAGGAGATGGGGACCCGGGACAAAGAGCAAGTGGACAGAAAGCTGGAGAGCTAGGCAGGGTAAGACGGAGTCCTGGGCAGAAAAGGGTGAACTTAATGCTTGGATTTAGAAGGTACTTCATAAACATTTGTTTCTGGGGACAGGAAAAGGGATGTTTGGGAATCCTGGAGTTACAGGGCTAAGCACAGCGCTGCGGTTCAAAGAAAGGCAACGGTCGGAGAGCGTGTTAAAGAAGCTGGACGATGCAGAGGAAAGAGCAGGGAACCAGGGTCCCAGGGGCTGAGACTGACGGACCAAGCGGTGTAGCTGCCTGCGGCCGCGAGTCCCACTGAGCGCTCCCGGGGCGGGGCCGGCGAGAGGCGATTGGCGAGGCCCGCTGCCCATCATCGCCCCCCACTTCCTGGCCAGCCCCGGAAGTCAGCAGGCGCTGGGAGGGGTGGGGGAGATAGCGGCGGCAGTAGCCCGGGCCCTCAGCGAGCCGGCAGGGAGGGAGGGTGTTGGGGGTACGGCCCCCCACCATTCCTACCGATATGGGCCCAGCTTCCCACTCCCACCACCCCTCCATCGGTCGGGGCTAGGACATCCCCAAATCCTGTCGCCCCCTTGGCACCGACACCGAGACAGAGACACAGCCGCCGCCACCGCTGCCGCAGCCTGGCTGGGGAGGGGGCCCGTCCCCCAGGCCCCCCGCCCCATTGAGGTGTGGGCGGGAAAGGGGTGGGAGGAGGTGGGAGGAGGTCGCTGAAGGGGGCCGGGGTGGGGAGAGATGGGGCTGGGAGGGCCGTCTGGGGACAGGGTTGCTGGGGAGAGGGGCCTGAGCGGAAGAACGGGAGCGGCGAGGGCTGGAGACAAGCCCCGAGGTGGAGGGCTTGCCTAGAGGGCCAGAGCCAGGTGAGAGGAGAGATGGGAACTCCGAATTTTGGACGGGGGTGTGGACAAGGGAATCTTGGAGAGGGGATTCCCTCCCTTCAGGTTCCCCAGCCCTTCTGCTGCGTTTTGGCCCCACATGACTTGGGTGGCCGTGAGAAGGCCAGGACTGCTTCCCAGGAATGCTGTCAGGCACCCGTTAACCTCTAGGCACAGAACCACTCATTTCTCACGGCCTTCCACGTTGGGGTAGACCCTTACTAACGCACGGGCGTCCTGTGGGAGGCTGTCTGCGTTGGTTCGAGTGCCTTTGACAGGTTGGATTGCTGGTGTGCAGCTGCCTGCTGTGCTCTCCATAGGCTGGAGGGAAGGACGGCGAAACGCCCATCAGAGTGGCCCTCATACTTCATGTGTTCAGTTTGTGACGTGCTCCAGTGCCAGATGTATGTGAGGGCTTGGCATGTCCATCTGTTGGATGTTTCCATGTTCCCTACATGCTTTATGTTTTTACATGTTTGGCTTTAGCTTGTCCTGTTTGGCCTCACAGGTGCTCATCCACAGTTCTGGAGTGTGCAGGATGCTTCCTGTGAGGGGTCCAATGGCTTGGTCCTGTTGTGACCACAGTAGCTTGTTTTCCTCCTACATGAGGTTCTTGCCACAGATCTGCAGGCCCCATGATGTGACAGGTTGATGTGGTATAACTATAGCATGTACTTCCGGTTGCACCTGCCATTTATTTCATGAATTTTGTCATTGCGATTGATGTGAGCTATGTGCTCATTAGCCCATTTGACATTACAGTGTGTTTATAAATCTTCCAACATTTCTGTCTAGAGATGATTACTTCATTCGACCAAGTGTTACACAAGTATTACTTGTTCTCCAATTCCCCCAAGGCATTTTTTTGTTGTTATACTTTGAGACAGGGTCTCTCTATGTAGACCAGGTTACCCTTGAACTCATAAAGATCCACCTGCCTCCTGCCTCTGCCTCCTGGGTGCCACCATGCCCAGCTGAGATTTTTTTTTTTTCTGACAACTTCACATAGTCACACTGGCCTTGAACTTGAGACGGAGCCAGGCTGGCCTGGAATTCCTGATTTTCTTCCTTACATGCATGTGTCACCACACTTCGTGTCCCGTGGCACCACTGATTTGCTTTACTTTGCTGACCACCTGACCGGTCTCTTCACATGTGTTTGTCTCCACTGGCCGTACAGTCTGTGTCACAGCTTAATGCAGGTCTGTCCTGCGGTGAGCTCCCAGTGTCTGTGTGTCTGTACGGACCATTGTCTGTGCCCCACTTTTTGCACAGTTGGCACATAGTTTATGACAAGAGTGTGGTGGTATGTTGCTCCCCCTCTGTATACTGAGATGACATAGTCATAGTTTGTACTCCAGCTTCCCTGTGGCCATGTGTAAATGAGTTGCTGTAAGGCTTGTCCTCGGTGTTTGGGGGAGATGACTTTTCCTACCTTGCCTACGATCAGAGCTGCCTGCCCCTCCCTGGCCTGCAAGTGTAACTCAGCGGCCCAGCACGTGAACAGCCCGGCCGTGCAAAGCAAAACGGAAGGAAACAAAACTGAGAGCCATATTCCTCTTATTAACTGATCAGTTGTGGGCATGCCTGCAGCTTTATAATCCCTTCCAAGATTTACTGAGCACCCACTGAACCTGCTTCCGTCTGGGCATGGACATAAGACATAACCCCTGTCCTGAAGTTGCTTACCGCCTGGAGGAGATAAGCCCAAAAGACCAGTTAACTTTTACCCAAAGTGTATTATCGATATCAGTAGTTCTCAAGCCCAGTGTACAGCAGACTTACCTGGAAGGCATGTTAAAATACAGACTGGCCCAGTGCCCAGGGTTCATTATGTCTGGGCGAGGCCCAGAAGTTATGTTTCTACACCTTGACAACCAGTGATCATACAAGGTGTGGTGGCCTACACCTCTAGTCCCAGCATTCAGGAGGTACAGGCAGGAAGATCGTCACAACCAGTCTCGGGATATTCAGGGATGTGCTAGAAATTTGTAATGAAAACCTGGGCCTGGCCAGGTTGTGAAAGACATTTGAAAGGTGGCACTGAACTGTGTAAAGCAAGAGGAGGTAGGGCCTACCAGCCATAGGGAGCAGTATAGTCAAGAGCATAGAAGCATGAAGGACTTGTGGCAGATCTGAGAAAGTGAAGAAAATCATTCTGGAGATGGGGGCAGAGATAGAAGCACAAGTCAACTTCTCAAGAAAGGCCTTTTGGAAAGAGAGGAATGCTCAGATTTAGGTCACAGAAGTCTGTCTGGTGGCCGTATGATGAGAAGTGGAGGGCAACTCTAACCTCATGCAATGCATACATAGCTCAGGGAACAAAGGTGCTGGACGGAACAGTTTAGAAAGCCTATTGTTTGGAGTTCTGGAGGATAGGGGTGGGCTCATGTGTCCCCCTGGGCCATTGCAGTTTTAGGAAGGGAGAGCCTTTGACCTGCTTGGAGAGACAGGTACAGAACACCCATTTTATCAGCTGGCAATGGGACAGAGTGGAGAAAAGAGGAACGCCCTGAAGGCAGGTTCTGCATGCATGCATCTCTTCTTCCTGAGCAGGTGATTGGAAGTTCCTTTTACTCGGCAGTTTCTTTAATAAGGCCTCTCATATGACCTGCCTGCCCACATTGCCTCCAAGAGGCTAGAAGGAAGGAAGGGAATAGTTTGTTTGTCTGTCTGTAGAAGTGCACTGTTATGTGGGGTGTAGGGTCATAAAGGACTCCACTGCAGGGAGAAGAGGTTTTTCTAGATGTGTATTTATATTCCTTTATCTGTCACTGAGCATGATAGTGAATGTGTGTATGTGTGTGAACATAGTATTGTATGCCTGAGATTTTTTGGATCTCCAACTTGTTCCATGGTGCTTGTCGGTCACTGTCTCCATGTCTGCTGTGTGTATGTGTGTATATGTAAGTGACAGTATTTAGTAGGACTCAGGATGCTTAGGTTTAACCTAGAAACTGCTGCTGAGGAGCTGCTTGGCCTCAGGTAAGCTCTTTGCTCTCCTTGAGCCATTTCCAGTGAAACCAATAATGCTAATAGTACTTTGTGAACTATCAGGTGGACCATACATAGGATTTAACATACTAATAAACAGCACTGTCCACCAGAAATAAAATGGAGCTGCTCTTTAAACTTCTGATATCCACAATAAAAATGGTGAAAAGTATCAGTGAAGCCCGTTTTGAGGCCAACAGAGCCGGAAGGAATGGGTAGAAAACGATCAGGTTCAGTGCTAGTGCTCGTTCCCAGCCTGCACAGGGTCCAGCCCGGAGTGGGATGTTATTAATGGGACATTTTACATGTCTGCTTTCCACCCAGAATCCTCAAGTGTCTGGTATGCATGTAATATTCCCAGTCCCTCTCCATTGGGAGTGGACAGTACAGTGATAGACTGCCCATCCACTGCCTCATGCCTGTAAGAGATGGAGAGGATCACTGTGAATTAGAGACCAGCCTGGGCTACACAATTCCAGGTCAACTTGGATTAGAATGAAACTTTGCCTCAAAAGAAATAGTCCTTTCCAGGCACAAATGGTAGCTGTGTCTTTGCTGTTCCCTTGTCACTCACCTGAGAGTTGTGGGTGTTTGGGGCTCTTGTCTGTTTGTATCCAGAGTCCTGGAGCTGCAGCGGACAGCGATCTCAGGCTGGGTTCCCCCAGTTCTACCTGGCCCCTCTCACCTGCAGGTGACCAGAATGGAGCTGTGGCCCGGGGCCTGGACGGCACTGCTGCTGCTGCTGCTCCTCCTGCTGTCCACCCTGTGGTTCTGCAGCCCCAGTGCCAAGTATTTCTTCAAGATGGGCTTCTACAACGGCTGGATCCTCTTGCTGGCTATCCTCGCAATCCCTGTGTGTGCTGTCCGAGGACGCAATGTCGAGAACATGAAGTAAGGGCTAAGGGGCGAGCAGCGGTCTGTCTCGGGGACTCAGGGTGAGAAGGGAGTGGAAGGTTTGAGGGAGAAGAACTCAGACACAAATCCAGAGACAAGGATCGGGGGAGGGACCGAAAAGATGGCCAGGAAGTCAGTAGGTAGGCGGGCGCAGAGAGACAGAGGCATGCTAGTGGGCATCAGTGGATCCCACTGGGCCCCCTTGCCATGACCCACAGGATCTTGCGTCTGCTGCTGCTTCACATCAAATACCTGTATGGGATCCGAGTGGAGGTGCGGGGGGCTCAACACTTCCCTCCCACGCAGCCCTACGTTGTGGTCTCCAACCACCAGAGCTCCCTCGACCTGCTTGGTGAGGCCTCATCACAGGGCCCCGTCATTTAGCTGAACCTTCTTTTCTGACCCCCCCCCATACAAACATGCTTCCCTAGAGGCCCTTACTTCCCCCTCCTCTTGAATGCCACCCTCCTCAAGTCTCCTCTCCCTGGGGTGGGTCTGCCCTTGACAGGTGCACACACCTGTAGTCAGCTTTGATTTCCCAGGCCTTCTCCAACCCACTTCTCTTCAGTTGGTGTGGGTGGCGACCTGGAGTGGGTACGGTGCCTGCTGTGATCCTGCTTATACCCTGATCTGTACCTCATCCCCACCCCTGCCAAGGGATGATGGAGGTGCTGCCAGATCGCTGTGTGCCCATTGCCAAGCGTGAGCTACTATGGGCTGGCTCTGCCGGACTGGCCTGCTGGCTGGCAGGAGTCATCTTCATTGACCGGAAACGCACGGGAGATGCCATCAGTGTCATGTCTGAGGTGGCCCAGACCCTGCTCACCCAGGATGTGAGTCTTCCTGAGATGGGGTTTTGGGGGTTAGGGAGTAAATGGTTGTGAATCACTGACAGTGGTGTGTCGTCATTGGAGCGTGGCAGCCACCGGCCCTCCTTATGTGTGCTCTTCTGACCTCTTTCCCTCAGGTGAGAGTCTGGGTTTTTCCTGAAGGAACAAGAAACCACAATGGCTCCATGCTGCCCTTCAAACGTGGCGCCTTCCACCTTGCAGTCCAGGCCCAGGTGACCCCTGCTCTCTGCTCGCCAGCCTCCAGACCCGCTTCCTCCCTGCCCAGGCGTGTGCACTCACTCTCCTGCTTTACCTCTTCCCAGGTCCCCATCATCCCCATAGTCATGTCCTCCTACCAAGACTTCTACTGCAAAAAGGAACGCCGCTTCACCTCGGGTGAGCACACCTGCCCTGAGGGCTCTGAGCGGGTCTGGGGAGGGCGTGGCCAGAAAGTTCGTGGGATGCTGAGGAACATCCCTGGGGCAGGGGGACCTTAAGTACCCACTGGTACTTAAGACGTGCCAGGTAGGTAGGACCAGTCTCCGCAAGAGAGACTGTTACAGTCTGGAAGGGAAGGTGAAGCTGGCCTGTGCAGAGCTGTACTGATAACAGCTCTGAACACTGACCGCACACTGGAATCGTGGAGAGAGGCCTGGACAGGGGTCTGAGGATTTTGTCAGCAGCTGGCGAGCAGAGCAGCGGTCATCCTGGTGTACAGGAGAGACCCGGAAGGTGGAGGAAAGGCGTAGCGGGATTGCACTACAGTTGGCTGAGACCCAAGAGTGTCTGTCGGCCATGACGCTGTTCCTCATCCCACCAGGACGATGTCGGGTGCGGGTGCTGCCCCCAGTGCCCACAGAAGGGCTGACACCAGATGATGTCCCCGCTCTGGCAGACAGAGTCCGGCACTCCATGCTCACTATCTTCCGGGAGATCTCCACTGATGGCCTGGGTGGCGGTGACTGTCTGAAAAAGCCTGGGGGTGCGGGCGAGGCCCGGCTCTGAGCTTCCTCCTACCCTTCCCACCTTTCTCCCACACCTCCGCCCCAGAGCCTGAAGCAGGGCCAGGCCCTCTTCCTGGGTCCCCACTCCCTACTCTCCTTTTGGAATCTTCAAGTTCTGAAGTGATTATGGATAGAGCATCACTCCATGTCCTTCCCCGCCCCACCCATGGACTTTGCTGCGTGGGTACAGTCTCCACTCCGATCCCCACCTGCCATCTTGTCTTGTGGGACAGTTGCCTCCCCTCATCTCAAGTGGCTCATCGGATACAAGGGTGGGGGACATTCCATCCCATCCCTTCCCCAGTGGTCTCTTTGTGGCCTTTTCTCCCTCCCCACCCCACACTGGACAATGGACTCATCTGTTCTGTGGAACAATCCACCCCTCACCCCAAGTCCACAGATTGAGTGGGACCACTTGCTAGTGAGGACTCCTCATCCTGTGGCTGGGAGCTGAACCTGAACACGCCTCACCGGCTCACCTGGGGAACCTCCTCAACACTGGCACCCTCCGTGGGGCTGGGCTCTTCTAACTCAGAGGTCTCATCCCTGCCCATGCCAGGGGCTGAGCACACTCCAGATGCCAATTTCTACTTCCCCCGTCCCCTCGGTAGAGGTCTTCAGGGTCCTGGCCTGGCACCATCTAACCAAACTCTGGCGAGGCGGACCCTAGAAGCTGCTCTCTGCTCCCTGGGGCCTTAGGGGAAAGAACCTGAGCCTGGTGAGGGAGAGGAGGGCGCTTAATTTATTTCTCTTTCTTTTGAGGTACCTCCCTCTCTGAGCCAGTTTTCATTCCCCCCAGTGGCATTGGCCACTCCCCCTGCCTCCCACTCCAGACCCATTCCTAAGACCCAGGAGGTAGGCTGGGGGCAGAAGGAACGGGTGGGATCCAGTTTTGTGTGGTTGGTTTTTATTATCTGGGTAACAGCAAGCAACTGAGAATAAAAAGAAAGAGAGATCTGGGGGCTTTCTGTGGCTCCTTGTGCCTCCGGTGGTCGATACCCCTGTCTGCCAATCCCAGATAGCAGGCAGTTTCTGTGTAAATTAGGGATCCAGGCTGCTGCGGGAGTTCCTTGTCAACCATGGAGGCTTGGGCCCAGACCGTCGTCCTCACGGGCACCTAGTTCAGGCCGTCGTCCTCACAGGCACCTAGTTCAGGCTGTTGTCCTCGCAGGCACCTAGTTCATGGCAAAGAGGCAAGGTGACTCTGGTCAGGAGGGAGTGGACCCGCCAGTCACCCAACAACAAGCAAGGATACCGGGGAATGGGGTCCTGGGAGTAAGGACTGTGGGAGGGTTTCTGGAGGGAGATGCCGAGTTGATCATATGTCTTCAGTTGTGGAGGAGGCGCAGGGGGACTCACAGGCACCCAGCTTTTCCTCAAGCAGCAGCACCTGGTCACTGAGGGACTCGATCCTGTCACCCCGGCCCCAAAGCTCAGCTACCTGTTCCGGCTGCAGCTCTTCAGGCGGCATGGGCAGCACTGCTCGGACCCAGGCCCCAGCCTGTGTGGCCCACTGCAAAGGAAAGTGGTACCTCAGGATTCTGGCAAGGTCCAGGGTGCACCTGCACCCCTGTGGCTCTGCCCCCTGCTCGCCTGCTCCAGCCGCTCCAGGCGCCCACGCAGCTCCGCAACCTCCCACCTCAGGGTTCGTTCCTCACGTTCCGCTTCCCGAACTAGGACAAAGGAGACTGTGAGCATGACCTAACCTACTACAGGGACCCAGGCCCACCCCGCGAGCGTCCCATACCCACCTGCCACGCTGAAGATGCTGGCACTTGTTGAGGATTCTAGAGGCCCCCCTGCACAGGCGCGTCCGTCCGGACCCAGAACCAGGGGGTGCGGACAGCTGCACGTGAAGCTGCCCAGGGTGTTCTGACAGCCGTGAGAACAGAGGGTAAGGCTGGTCCTGCATTCATCGACGTCTAGTTACCAGAAAGAGGAAGGGGCTGCAGGGGGCAGGGCGCCACAGTGGGTGGGGAGATCCCAGCACCCGCCCCGTTGTTATGGGGCGACCCGCCTGCTTACCCACGCGGCAGTGCTTCCCTCCCCAGCCTGGGGCGCACTCGCACTGGTCCGGTCCAGTACAGACACCTCCATTAAGACAAGGCTTGGAGCAGATGGCTGGGGTGCATTTGAGAAGAAAGTGTTAAGACCCGGATTCAGTGCCAGCCACCCAGCGCCTCCCACCAAGGCCTCAAGTCCCAACCTCACCTTCACAGGTGAGAGCTCCTGGATGTGGCTTCTTCCAGCCCTGGCAGCACACTACATGTGTCTGCTGTACCTCCCGCCTCACCTCCCTCCAGGCCACACGGTAAGTGGTCCTAGAACATAGAACCGGGCCAGGATTCTGGGCACCCATCCTGGGCTTGGTTCTTGGGATCCCTTTGAGACCCTGGAGTCGTAGGGCTGGTCTCACCTGTAGGTGCTGCATATGCGTCTCCCAGCACACAAGGTCAGGTAGGGCTTGTAGACCGGTTGGCTGTAGGACTCGTTGTAACGGAGCGGAACCACCAGTGTCTGGTTGGAGCAGACACCCAAACTGCAGCCATGCCAGGGGTGGAGGTGGGGAGACACTGAGCGTGGCCGCCCTCGGCAGGGCAGCCATGAGTCCCTCCTGCCCTCATCCTAAACTTTGAGTTTTGTTCTGCCTCCTACCAAATCTGGCCCCAGCGGCGACCTCACCTTGCCCCTCCCCCATTTGCTGTCACCTTTGTCTGAAAGATCTTCCTCTGGCCCCCTGGCCTGACATCAGGAGCAGGAGGAATGACAGTCCAGTTAGGAAAGCGCACAGCTCGGCCCTGAGCGCCATGGTTCTTCCAGACTCTGTGGGCTGAGACAAGCAGTTATGGAGGCTCTTCACGTCTCTCTGGCTTCTCCAGCCTCCGCCCCCTAAAACAGTCTACTGAGGTCAGGACATTCACTCTTCTCAATGAGCCACTCACATGGTCTACAGCGCCCTGTACATTTTTAATAATGATCTGTGCAGCCAGGCTCACCCTACCCCAGAGCTCAGGGCCAGCCTTCCCACATAACCCTTCTTAGTATGCCCCTTGTAACTTCACCGTCAAAACTGTAGCACCCTACACCTTACACACAAACCCAAGCATGTTAAATACATTTCTGCCACCATTGCTCACACCATCACAGACACCCTAGACACACCCTTCACTCAGGAAACCTCCCTCCCAGCTCATACCCATCCTAAGGTCAAGTAATCCCAATTATTTCCACCACCCTCTCCCTCTTCCCACCTGTTTTCCCGTCCAGGGAGGTAGCGGCGCAGAGACCCCAGCAGCAGCCGCTCAGACTGGAGTGGCCTCTCCAGCTGGCAAGAGGCAAAGGGGCGGGCCCAGACAGCAGCCTCCCTCTCCTGCCCCCTCCCACAAGACTCCCAGTCTCGGGCTGGTCCTGTCTTCCCCACCCTCTCTTCAGCCAAGGGCTGCTTAGAATGACCTGCACAACCTTAGAAGGTCCCCAAATCAGAAGTTCCTGGCTCTGATAGCAACCAACACCCACCCCCGCTTCAACCTAACACAGACTGTGGGGGAATGTGAGGACGGGGAGAGGGCAGAGCTGGAGCAAGGGCAGGTCACGGCCGAGCAGGCAAGATCCGCTGAGGAAAGAAAGCAGTTACAGAAGGGCAGGGGCGCCCAAGGCACCAGGGAAAACTGCCTCCGTCTCTTGATGGCATTTATTGGGGGTTGGGGGGCACCACCCCCAAGCCAGAACAGACAGGGCCCTATTGTCTCCGTCCAAATTCTTCCTCCCAGGCAAAGGGAGACTGACTGTACAGCCCCTCACCCAGCCCTGGCCTACAAAGGGCAAGGGGCGTGACACATGTCCAACCTGACCCTCAGCCCCCTCGTCTAGTCCGGGGGTGGCAGGCCAATTCTACCCATGGGGCTGAGGCCCAAACCTCCAGAGCCTGGGGCTCAGCCCCCTAACCCTAGGCTGGGACAGGAAGGGAATTGTCTTCAGCAGGAAAGAACCCGCAGAGAGTCAGGAACCTAAACAGAATGGGCATTGAGAGGACGGAAACACCAAGGGGTCCCCACCCCCACCAGGCATCTGGGCACCCAGGCCCCAGGCTTTCTATCCCCACCGTCCCCTTCACCTAGGAATAAGCCAAGCCACACTGAGGAAATGGAACTTTATTTCTATAAATAGAGAACACCCGCTCAAGGGTAGTTAAAAGAGGGTCTGGGGCCTCAAAGAACCTAGGCTCCCAGGGGATACCCCAACACTGATCATAGGGACTGGGGGATCCCCAAACCTGAGATGGGCCTTGCAGGCCACAGATATTCCCCAACACTGACACTTCAAAAGTGGAACTGTCCCCATAGGGGAACCGCAGAACCCCTCTTACGGGCGTCCCTCTTGGCGGGGAGGCTGGCGACAGGGAAGTTGAGAAAAAGGGAACATGGGGATAACAGAAGCTAAAAATGTCCTGAGTGGCCTGGAAGGAGACCCCTGTGGTGGGCAGGGGCTGGGTTCTCCTCTGGTACAGCCAGACCCAGAGGAGGAGGAGCAGCAGCGTGAAGCCCGTTAGAAACCTGGTGCTCACTTCCCAACCTCAGCCCTGGGAGAAAGGGAGCGCACGGAGATGTCCCCAGATGAGGACATGAGGTAGGGGACCAGAACTTGTCATTCACAGAGGAGCAGAGGGGAGGATTCAGGGAGCCCTGGTGGGGTGGGGCAGTGTGGGAGCGATGAGGTGGTCACAGGCGTGCCAGAGCCTGGCATCTGCTTCCCAAGGCCACCACTTGGTCTCTGGGCTGGGGAATTCCTGAGGACATCTTCAGGAGAGCCATGGTTCAATGCAATTATCATAGAGCGTGCGATTGGAGTGCCAGGTGGTATGAGAGATCCCCGCCACCGGACACCTTACTATGGCCCCCCGGGCCAACAGAGACTTCAACCCAAAGGAGTCTCGCAGATAAACCTTCAAGGTAGGTGGAAGGGCGTGAAGACATGGGGAAAAAGAGACAAAGTGAGGTACTGCTGCTGTCCAAACCACACCCCACCCCCACCACCCCCATACCCTCACTTCCCCGGCCCCATGAGGCAGACCCTTCAACTCGGGGGTCAGAGGCAGAAAGTCCAGAATGAAACGGAACAATGGAAGGAGAAAAATTGTTCCAAGGGGCTTACCGGCTGCTCCTCCATATCCAAGACCGTCTCATTGGCGTCATAGAAACCAAAGAAGCTACAAAGAGATTTGCAGGGAGGATATCAGGAGACCAAGGAAAACTAATGTGCATTAGTGTGTCTCATAGAGACTCAAAGCCCCCTGGGGAGACAGGCAGCATGGGGGACACTCAGAATCTTTAAGAGGAACTAGGCATGAAGGCACAAGTATGCAGTGTTCGAGGCCAGCTTCAGCTACATAGCATGTTCAAGGCCAGAGGAGGCTACATGAGACCCTGTCTCAAACAACTAAGAACCATCCTGATTTGAAGAATGTAAGTGCTGGAGAGCTAGTTCAAAGGTTAAGAGCACTGGCTGCTCTTCCAGAGGACTCAGGTTCCAGCATCCATGTGGTGTTTCACAACCATTTGTAACTCCAGTTCCAGGCAATCCATACCATCTTATGGCCTTCCTGGACATCAGGCATGCACGTGGTACATAAATGTACATGCAGGCAAACCACTCATACACATACATTTTTTTTTCAAAAATTAAAAAAAAATGTAAGTTTGGGGGTCGGAGAGGTAGCTCAGCAGATCGGAAGTGCTGGCTACTCTCCAAGGGCACCTGCACTCACATGCACACAACCCCATGCAGACACACCAACATATGAATCAAAGTAATAAATCTTTAAAAAAGGAATTCAAGAACCAAGTGTGGTGGTGTATGTCTACAATCTCAGCACTCGATAGGCAAGAGGATCTCTGAGTTCAAGGCCAACCTGGTCTACATAGTGTGTTTTAGGACAGCCAGCGCTATGTAGAGAGTCTATCTTCAAAACCAAACAATTAAACACAGAAAAACATGCCTAGCATAGATACTAGATTCAACACTCACTACTGCAAATAAGTCAATCAGTCCTTTTTGCAGGGTCTCACTGTGAACCCTACATTGGCTGTGATTCTCTTACCTTCTTGTGAGTGCAGAGAGGAGAGGTGTGTGGTACCATGTTTAGCTTAATTTTTAATTTTTTTTTTAATCATGTAGTGTTCTGCCTGCATGTATGCCTGAAGACCAGAAGAGGGCACCAGATCTCATTATAGATAGTTGTGAGCCACCAGAGATCCAGCTTCCTCTGACTCCAGGGAGCTATGATTAAAGGCGTGTGCAGCCATGCCCAGCTAAAATCTAATGTTGGGTGCATGTATGGTATGGAGGTCAGAGGACACCTTACAGGGTTTCCAGGGATTAAGCTCAAGTGGCCAGGCACTTCACAGACTCAGCCAATTGTTTTTTTAATTAGAGAATATTGCCAGATGTAGTAGTGTATACATTTAATTCCAACACCTAGGAGGCAGCAGCTGGAGGATCTCTGTGCATTCCAGGACAGCCAGGGCTACACAGTGTGAGACTCTGTCTCAAAAAAGAAAAAAAAAATTACAAGTAGACCCTCTTTGTCAATAACTTGACAAATGCTAACGGTTAAAATTCTAGGAGTTGGGGGCTGGAGAGATGGCCCAGAGGTTAAGAGAACTGGCTGCTCTTCCAGAGGACCAGGGTTCAATTCCCAGCAACCACATGGCAGCTCATAACTGTCTGAAACTATAGTTCCAGGGGACCCAACACCCTCACACAGACATGAATGCAGACAAAACACCAATGCACATTAAATTAAACTTTTTTTAAAAAACTTGTAATTTCTAAGATTGGGTATGTAGTTGAGTTGGTAGAGTGACTGCCTAGCATGCCTGAAGTCCTGGGTTGATTACCAGCACTGTATAAACTTTAACATAGTAACAAATGTCTCTATCCTTGGCTATACAACAAATTTGAGGCCAGCCTGGAATACATGACACTGTCTCAAACCAAAAACTAAAAAAATGATCACTTCTGCCTACCTAACTATCCACCCATCTGCTCTTTCCTCCTGGTGCTAAGAGTTAAACCCAAGAGCTGGGTGGTGTGGCACAGGCCTTTAATCCCAGCACTCAAGAGCCAGAGGCAGGAGGATGTCTGTGAGTTCAAGGCCAGCCTTGTCAGGGCTACACGCGGGAAAAACTGCACGTGGAAACCCATCATCACACAAACAGCATCATCACACCCAGAGCTTCAGCATGGTAGCCAAATACTCCGAGCTACATCCTCTCAGCTTACTGTTATCTGTTAGCTTATTGTTTTTGAGTAGTCTCACTTGGTAGCCCAGGCCGGCCACAAACACAATAAATATCCCTCTACCTCTGCCTCCAAGGTACTAGGATGACAGTTGTGCCCACCATGCTCAGCTATGGTTTGTCACAATAAGAAAGAGCCAGCTCAGAGGCCTGACGTTGGCCTACAAGGGTTCAAGGCCAGCTACCGTTCGCCTCCTCTTGCTCTCCCCAATCCCCACGGGACTCCGCTAGGCCCCCAGGAACAAGCCTTCCCTCCCTTCCTCGGGCTTGTTCAGATGGCAGCTCCTTTGAGGACACTTCCCTGACCACAGGCTACAGCAGGCCCCGCCTCCTTTCTTTGCACCTGCCATGGTATTTCTAATTTAGTGTTTAAAGAACAGGACACCAGGGACTTTCTTTGCCAATGCTTCCCCACAGCCCAGAATAGCACCTGGGCACACATAGTGTTCAATAAATACTTGTTGAGTAAATTTCAGGTGACACTCCCAGGCCAATTCATCATGACGCACCACAGAAGCAGGTGTACAGAGCTATGGAGCTATCAGCTTTCCCGAGGAATGAGACAGAGGGGCTGAGGTTTATACTCTGGCGCAGAACGGCAAGGAATGTAATAAAGTAGCCAGAACCTCGCTCTCACACTGTAGTGATGTCAGTGCCCTGACTTTGGTTTTCTGGCTTTTTGGGTTTTTTTGTTTTTGTTTTTTTTTTTTGAGTCAGCGTCTCTCTCTACATAGCTCTGACTGTCCTGGAACTCACTAGGAAGACCAGGCTGGCCTTAAACTCAGAGATCCACCTGCCTCTGCTTCCCAAGTTCTGGGATAAAGGCGTGCACCACCTCGCCTCATGCTATGAGTTTGATGTTGTGGGCCCTGATAAACCATCTCTGCAACCTCCTCAGAATCCATGATTATGGGCTGGAGAGATGGCTCAGTGGTTAAGAGCACTGGCTGCTCTGCCAGAGGTCCTGAGTTCAATTCCCAGCAACCACATGGTGGCTCTCAACCATCTGTAATGAGATCTGGTGCCCTCTCCTGGCCTGCAGGAGTACATGCAGACAGGAAATTGTAAACATAAGAAATAAATAAATAAATCTTAAAAAAAGAAAGAATCACAAAAAAAGAACTCATGATTACTTCAAAATTATGTGTGTATGAATGTTCATGTGTGGTTTTTGAAATAGGGTCTCATGTAGCCCAGGCTGGCCTCGTATTCACTATGCAGTGCCTTGAACTTCGGATCCTCCTCCTCTACTTCCTGAGTGCTGGGATGGAACCCAGGCATGCTCGGCAAGAGCTGTACCAGCTGAGCCACATCTCCAGCTTCCAGTATCAAAACTTTCTTTTTTTTTTTTAAGATTTATTATGTGTCCAGTGTTCTTTTGGCCAGAAGAGGGCACCAGATCATTATAGATGGTTGTGAGCCACTATGTGGTTGTTGGGAATTGAATTCAGGACCTCTGGAAGAGCAGCCAGTGCTCTTAACCTCTGAGCCAATCTCCAGCCCCTCAAAAGACTTTCTATACCAGAAAGTTTTTTGTTTGTTTGTCGGTGGTGGTGGTGTTTTGCTTTTTGACACATGTGTCTCAAAAAACAGCCCTGAATGGCCTGAAACAGATCCACCTGCCTCTGCCTCCTGAGTGCTGGAATTAAATATATCAGTTTTTTGTGTGTTTTGGTGAAAGGGTCTTATTATGTTGCGCAGATTCATTCTGAACTCTTGGGCTCAAGTGATCTTCTTGCCTCAGACTCAACCATTTCTCCCTCCACCCCCACCCTCCTTTTTTTTTCCTTTTTTTTTTCAAGACAGGGTTTCTCTGTGTTAACAGCCTTGGATCTCCTAGAACTCACTCTGTAGACCAGGCTGACCTTGAACTCACAGAGACCTGCCTGCCTCTGCCTCAAGCGCTGGGATTAAAGGCGTGTGCCACCACCGCCCTGCAGACTTAAACATTTCTACAAGGGTCAGATGTGCAGAACACTTGCCTAGCATGTGTAAGCCCCTGGATCTGATCCCCAGCACTGCCAGAAAGAAAAAGGGAGACATGGATGTGGTAATCATGCCTGTCACTTGGGAGGTAAAGGCAAGAGGTCAAGCCTGGGCTACACACTGGGCCCCTGTGTCTAAGAGAACATCTGTTGTATATAGGGACACTAACAAGCCAGGTCTTCAGCCTCTACAACCCCTTGTTACCTAGATTGCCAGGGAGTGATGACTCCATCGTCAGGACCCCCAATCAGCACCAGGCGGCCCACTCGGAGAAAGTTCTTCCGCCACACTGTAGAGATGAGGAGAGACAGGGTCAGCCACAGGGCTCAGGCCGGGATAGAAACAGAACAGGGGCACAGCTGGGGTGGGGCCTTACCAGTGGCATTGGGATGGTCTCTCTCCCCATTGATGAGGGCCAGGAAGCTGCTGGCATTGAGGTACAAGTCATCATGGTGAGGATCTGAGTACAAACAGCAGTTAGGGAGACAGCTGGAGCTGGGGTGTAGCGCAGCATGCCTGAGGCCCTGGGATGTGACCCCCACATCCTGCATAAACTGACATGGGTGGCCCACACCTCTAATACTGGAGCTCAGGATGTTACGTCAGGAGGATCAGTTCAGAGTCATCCTTGGCTACATAGAGTTCAAGTGGGCTGGAGGGATGGCTCAGTGGTTGAGAGCACTGGCTGCTATTCCATGACTCTGGTTCAACTCCCAGGACCCCCACACGGTAGCTCACAACTGTAACTCCAGTCCCAGGGGATCCAATGCCGTCTTCTGGCCTCCACAGGCAACAGGCATGCATGTAGTGCACATACATGCAGAAAAACACCCATACACATAAAATTTTAAATTTTTTTTAAAAAGGAAGAAAGAAGAAAAAAAACATAATGGAAGGGAAGACTAGATGGTCAGTAAGGAGACGATAGTAATAGTGAAGATTGGGGCTGGAGAGATGACTCAGTGATTAAGACTTCTAGCCGGGTGGTGGTGGCGCACATCTTTAATCCCAGAACTCGGGAGCCATAGGCACGTGGATCTTTGTGAGTTCGAGGCCAGCCTGGTCTACAGAGCGAGATCCAGGAAAGGTGCAAAGCTACACAGAGAAACCCTGTCTCGAAAAACCAAAAAAAAAAAAAAAGAAAAAAGACTTCTCACTGCTCTTCTGAAGGTCCTGAGTTCAATTCCCAGCACCCACATGGCAGCTCACAGCTGTCTGATGCCCTCGCCTGGCGTGCAGATGTACACGCAAAGTACCTATATACATAAAAGACATACATACATCTAATAGTGAAGACAGACATCCAGCCACACAACAGAAGGATAAAAATCACGGTCAGCACAATCAAAGGCACTTTTTGAGGTTTCCTGCTATTTTGTCTGTTTTTTGAGACAGGATCTATTTAGTCCTGGCTATCCTGGAACTCCTATATAATTCAGGCTAGTTTCAAACTCAGAGATCCTCCTGCCTCTATTTCCCAAGTGCTGGGATTAAATAGGTGTATCAGCACTCCTGGCCTGGGAGACACTTTTATGCGGCACCCTGTGTGAGTGATTGTGTGTGTGTGTGTGTGTGTGTGTGTGTGTGTGTATGTGTGTGTGTGTGGTTTTTCAAGACAGTTTCTCTATGTAACAATCCTGGCTGTCGTGGAACTCTCTTTGTAGCCCAGGCTGGCCTTGAACTCACTGAGATCCGTCTGGCTCTGCCTCCCAAGGGCTGGGATTAAAGGCGTGCGCCACCACCACCTGGTGAGGCAGTGATTTTTAAAAAGTTTTCATTAATTTAATGATTATAACCACCTCACAAGGTCCATGCTACATTACTTTATAGAAGGAGACTTGGTCCCAGAAAGCTAAGTAACGTACCCAAGGTTACCCAACAAAGTCAGGCTCAACCCCTAATCTGGCCCCAGCATCCAGGGTCAGGGTTAGGGTTACCCTCTCCCTCTCCCCCTCCCCCTCTCCCCTAATGGACCAAATCCAGCCTGTTACTTGTTTCTGTAAATAAAGCTGTACTGGGGCAGCCACTCCCTCATATGACCTGTGATCCACATTGTAGCAAATGAGCAATGGTGGAGAAAATGGACTTCTGAAAGTTGTCCTCTGACCTCCATGTATGTGCCATAGTTCATTCATGAACACACACATACACACATATACACGGAGAGAGACAGAGACAGAGAGAGTAATAATAATGATAATCCATTAATTTTTTTAAAGAAAAATTTTGTGCCCGGTGGGGGTGGGGGCGGTGGCGGTGGCAGTGGCACGCGCCTTTAATTCCAGCACCAGGAGGCAGAGCCAGGCAGATCTCTGTGAGTTCAAGGCCAGCCTGGTCTACAAAGTGAGTTCCAGGACCGGCACCAAAACTACAGAGAAACCCTGCCTCAAAAAAAAAAAACAAAAAAAAAACAGCGGGGCTACCAAGTGAGTTCCAGGAAAGGCGCAAAGCTACACGGAGAAACCCTGTCTCGGGGAAAAAAAAAAAAAAAAAAACCAAAACATTTTTTTGCACCAGACCACACACTCTGAGGCACCTGGGCGGCTTGCAGACAGCATTCTGAACAGCATCTATTTGATAGTAAGTTATTGATAAATGGAAACTGTTGCTTCGGTTATGGTAGAGGTGGGCGCAGGCCTCCCCCTCCACGGTGCCATGTCCACGAAGGCCCCGGCGCAGCACCACCCCACTTACCATGCCAGTAGTTGCAGATGGAAAATTCTTGGCCCCAAGGACTATAGCAGACCCGATAGAGGTTAGACCGCATGGATGTAGGGAACAGCCACTTCAGATAGTCTGTGTCTGAGAAAAGAAAGGCAGTGCCATGTGGCCTCAACCCTCTGTGCCCCACACATGGTGGTTTCTATGAACCCACATAGCCCACTCACCTCCATACTGTCCCATCTGTGGGGAAGAGAGGGAGATGAAAGAATCCACATTGTGCTCATCCATGACGCACAGCAAAGCTCGGCACACCAGGCCCCCTGGAGGCAGAGCACCAACATTGCAAGGGGCCTTAGGAACAGGGACTGTAGGGACCCTTGCCTCTGATCTCTCAAAATGCTTTTTTTTTTTTTTTTTTTTTTTGAGACAGGGTTTCTCTGTATAGCTTTGCGCCTTTCCTGGAACTCGCTTTGGAGACCAGGCTGGCCTGAACTCACAGAGATCCGCCTGCCTCTGCCTCCCGAGTGCTGGGATTAAAGGCGTGCGCCACCACGCCCGGCTCTCAAAATTCTTTAAAGAATGGGATCCAAGACTAAAGACACACCCTGTGCCCGCAAGCCACGTGTCACGTGACAGAGCCAAGCTACAGAGTCTAGGCCTCTGACCAACTGAGAGGCTTTTAGCTGCTCTTCAAATCCTTAACTGTAAGAACCATGGAAAATGAGGATGGAAGGAAGCCTCCCTCCCATTCGGGACACACGGGAGGAGGACAGGTGCTGAGGGAAGCCAGAAAACGGAGGCTCGTGACCAGAGCTATGCAGTTCAGAAAAGCAAACGCTGGAAAAGCACGCCTTAGATAAGGGTCAAGCTCGTACAAGGCTTGGGAGTTAGGAGTGTGTGTTGCCTACCCTGGGAGTAGCAGATGAGATGCACCCCTTCAGGGGCCTTTTCCATGATGGGGGCCACAGCCTCTCGGAACCCTTGCACCTGTTCCCACAAGGGCCGCAAGCTCTCTCGGCCATCGAAGAGATCGAGCACTGTCACCACAGTCCCGGGGTGTGTCTGTGGGAAAGGGGCAATGCAGCCACTGGGGTTGGACTATGAAGGCCACGTGCATTCACTGAGCTTGCTGGAACCAGGAACCCCCGTCCCCCAAATCTCCCCACGGTAGCAGCAGTACCCCGAGGAGCTGGCCTAGAGGGGTTGTCTTTCAGCTGCCCACGCTTCCTCCCCAACCACTGTAGCTGCTCCCACACCCTCCGCCCGGCGTCCCCTGACAGACCTCATTGATATAGTCCAGCAGGTGGCGGAAGCTGTAGGAACTGTCAAAGAGCCCGTGCACCACGATCACTGGCTTGTAGGACCCGCGGTGGGGTGCGGGGGCTGCGGGCATCAGCAGTCGCAAGAACGGCAGAAGGAGCAAAGCCCACGCCGAAGGAAGCCTCTGCCTCCATAGCCCTGGCATGCTCCCACCTGAGAAGAAACGACGGACCGGCTGTCAGGGACGCGACCCCCACCTTCCTCCCCCAATAGACTCCCAGCAACCTCCGGCCTCCGCGCCTATACCAGGTCCTTGTCACCATAGCCTACTTTCAACTTACTCCAGTTTGTTCTGCACAAACACACCCCCTACCACCTCGGTGCACTAATGCTCACCCTAAGTCCCGCCCCCAACTTGGCGCTCAAGGGACTTAGTCCCTAGGCCCAGGATCTTCCGTAAGCATCACCTCGGCCATGCACAACTCGGGGTTCTGCAACGGCCCCGGAGCAGCAGCCCAGGTCCCACGGAGAGTGGAAACTCCCACCTGGCCTGGGTCTGGAGGCTTCGCTCCGCCAGCTGTTTCCTTGTACCCAGTCTGGAATCCACGGGGTAGGAGGCAAAGGGGGACCAGGAGAGCGCACAGGGGGATGACGGGTGGGAGGGGGGTGCTGCTCGGGGTCGCGCAAAGCCGTCACGTCCGGGGCTTTCCCTGACAACAGAGAGAGCGTTCCCTGCAACGCGGACAGCGGACCGGAGGGGCAATGGAACATTCCATTGCACCCAAGGAGATGGGGAGGAGACAGGCGGAGCGATCCATTCAACCGGAAGGGGAGAAGCAACAGCAAAGATAATCGGGTACTAACGAAGGCTTTCCCAGCCACCCAGGGGTGCGACTTCTCCTCCCTGATGCGCCCCACTTTCCAACCCAGACTGTCTGGCTTTGCAGCCGAGCCCGAATTTCTGGTCCCAAAGTGGCGGGGGGAGGGTAGGACTGACGAAAGGTTATCCCAGCGTCTAGCTGGAGGCCAGGCGAGTGACAGGCCCGCGTGCCCGGCGGACCGCAGCCGGAGCACCCCTCTTCCCGCTCCTGTCTGCCCTCCCGCTCCGGATCAGCGCCTTACAACTCTTTCACTCTGAAGTGCGTGTTGTGCCCTTGTCCCCGGAGACGCCGAGAGTCCTTCAGGCCCCTCGAGTGAAGTGCAGCCTGGCCCAGTTTCTCTGGCCCTACTTTTATATCTGCGTTCATGACCAACCCTTCATGACCCACCTTCCATGGGCGTAGGGCCCCGGGGGCTGCAAGAACTCACCACCGGATTGCCACCAGTCTTTCAACTCTGAGTGACCCCAACAATCTGCTCCTCAGATCCCTGCAGGCTGCTGGCGACACCGACCCTGTTACTGCTGCCAGACTTTCGCGCTGCGGGCGCTGGCACCACTCGGCCTACCCGTGACCCCTGCGCACACCCCGAGTGCCCCAGGATGGCCTTTACCCGTCAGGGCTTTTACTTAACAGTGAAATAAGTTTCCAGGATTTCTGAGCATGCCTGAGCCTCTCGGCCTGTACTCGGGGTTTTTGCTCAGTCTGAACTCGACTCTCAATAAAAAAAAAAAAAAAAAAAAAAAAAAAAAAAAAAAAAAAAAAAAAAAAAAAAAAAAAACAGAGCATATATAGTGAAGACTGTGTGGGAGGGATGGGTCCGGGGTTCTCTCTGATCCATCCACGCTTGAAAAACCAGAACCACCGGTATGAAACCGTGATGTAAAAATTTCTAAGACCTGGGACCAGCTCAAGACATGTCTGGGACTGCTCGGCCTGGAGGGGCTCTGTCCTACGGCAACTGCCTCAGGCGAGGGTTGGGAAATTCTAAAAGGGGAGGGCATTTCTGATTCTCCTGCTAGGTTTCTGCAAAAGGCCCAACTGGTGTAATCTCTATAGACTGCCTATCCTCACCCTACCTCCCCACCCACGCCCTTCCAAGACACAAAAAGCAAATAAAAGACTTTAAGTCACCACTGCGCCTCGGGTTGACTCCGGAGGTGGATCAGCGTCTTGGGGCGGGAGAGAGGAGGGCAGGGGGTGCTGTAGGGAATGGGTAGAATGCTGACCGGCCCAAGAACTCTTCAGCCCCCACAAGCACGCTTTCTCAAACCTGCCTGTCACAGATAAGCAATTACATCTTGCTTCCCTTTGCTCAAGCATTTCAGCTCTTTAAGCCTGGAGGAAGAAGGAGCCTGTGTATCCCCACAGGCACTTTCCCTCCGTTTCCTCAGCCAGCTTCAAATTACAGACCTGAGCTTCCTACCTCACAGCCGGGAGGACAGGCCCACCCAGGCCGTATACCTGGGGGACTTTTCAGGCTCTCTTGGTTCCCAGCTTTACACCATTCTCTCTCACACCTGGTTCTGTCTCTAACTGGAGGAGCCTGGAGCGATCTTGCAGGGAGCACTGAGAGGGACTGAGGAAAGAACCCCTTGGACGAGCGGGTCTGGAGATAAGTGGGGTGAACCCTCTGAACTGGCTTCCCACAATATAATCACTACAGCGAGTCTTTGAGGGAGAGAGAGAGTTCTCTCTCCCTCCTTCATTCTCTTAGTCCCACCCGCCTCGCCTGGTCTTGCCTCCCGGTTTCCATGACAACTCCAAGGGAGCCTAAACTGGGGGCTTGAATGCCAGGGTGAGAGCAGGAAAGAGGTGGTCCAAGAGCAGAGAGAACCAGTGTGTGTGTGGGGGGACTTCTGAAGCTCTCCCCCTCCCTCGCCTCGGTCCCTTTAAGCTCCCCCCCCCCTTGCCACCCTCCCTCTGCTTGCCCCCCTCCGACTCTGTCTTCATCTCTCCATCTCTGCGCTGCCGCCGCCGCCGCCGCCGCCGCCGCTGCCGGCTGCGCCATCCCGGACCCAGACTCCTGCACCAGCCAGGGGGCCCTGACGCCCGCCTCAGAGACCCTGTCCCAGCAATTGCAAACATGTCATCGGAAAAGTCAGGTAAAAAAGAAAAATACCAATACCCCCCCCAACACCATCCCCTCCATTATCTCCTGTCTAACCCCCCCCACTTGCCCTAACCCCCTTCTTTGACCCTCTCTGGGGTGTTGTATGGTGGCTCAGTTCCATTCCCCTTCTCTCCGCTCGGACCCGCACCCCCTCCTCTTTCTCTGTCACATCCTTCTCTTCCTTTCTTTGGGTCAGTCTGCCTTGTGCCTTGTCAACAACATGGGGGGGGGCAGGTTGAGAAGGAGAGGAAGGCACAGCCAGGTACTGCAAGGACAGCATCACTAGGAGTGACAGATGGACAATCCCTGGTTCACTGGCATGGAGACACCCAGTGGAAAAATAGCGATGCCGCCTTGATCGGATGGGGGTTGTCGGGAAGTAAAATCTAGAAGACTTCCCCCCCCCCCCCAGACGAGATTTCCCTATGTAGCCCAGGCTGGCCCTGAACTCCCTAGTTCCTCATCCTCCTGCCTCTGCTTCACAAGTGCTGGGATTCCAGGCATGAACCACCAGAAGACTTTTTTTTACGGCCCTCCGAACAGAGGCCACGGGATTCCCAGGTAACCCCTGGCCCGCTTCCCCACTGAAGGGAAGCGGAAGTGTCATCCGCATAAAAACGGCCAAACCGAGCACGCACGAAGAGGGACAGCCCTGAGACAGCCCTGGATGAGGATGTGTGGTTGACGACTGTGGGTGACAGCGGAGGAGCTGGGGAGGAGTTGTGATGGCAAAACTAGACTGGAGGGCAGGTGGCCCGGATACCACCCCTTCCCTGACCCCAGAACGGGAGGCGTCATCTCCCCGGTCTCTCCCCTGACACTTCTCCATCTCTGTCTGATGCTTCTTACCTTCTGATCTCTGGCTCTTTTCTCTCTCTCCTTATCCTCTCCTCTGCTTTCCGTGGCCAGGCCTTCCAGACTCAGTTCCCCACACTTCACCGCCGCCCTACAATGCGCCCCAGCCTCCGGCCGAGCCCCCCATCCCGCCCCCACAAACGGCCCCCTCCTCACACCATCACCACCACCACCACTACCACCAGTCTGGCACTGCCACCCTCCCGCGCTTAGGGGCAGGTGGCCTGGCCTCTGCTGCGGCTGGCGCTCAGCGTGGCCCTTCGTCCTCCGCCACGCTACCGAGGCCCCCTCACCATGCCCCGCCCGGTCCCGGCGCTGGGGCTCCCCCACCCGGCTGTGCTACCTTACCCCGCATGCCACCCGACCCTTATCTGCAGGAGACTCGCTTCGAGGGCCCACTTCCCCCACCACCGCCGGCGGCTGCCGCCCCGCCCCCGCCAGCGCCAGCCCCGACGGCCCAGGCCCCGGGCTTTGTGGTGCCCACGCACGCGGGGGCGGTGGGCACGCTGCCGCTGGGGGGCTACGTGGCGCCCGGCTACCCGCTGCAGCTGCAGCCCTGCACTGCCTATGTTCCGGTGTATCCGGTGGGCACGGTGAGTGTGGGGCTGACGGGACCTAGGAGGAGAGGGAGGGAGGCAGGTGCAACAGGGACACGTGGGGGAGCTGGGAGAGAGAGAGAGCGAAGTAGAACCGGACCGAGCGGTGTTCTGGTAACAACAAACCCTAGACAGAAGAGTGGAGAAGGAAGGGATTGTGGGTGGGGAGGTGGTGGGGCTGGTGGGGGGCATCTTCGGGGATCAGAGGTCAAGGCGTGGGAGGTGGTTCAAAAGTCAAGAGGAGGTCTGAAAGAAGGAGACCGCTTGGAGGGAGAGGAAGGAATGGAACCTGGGAAGCCAGGGGTAGAAGGGAGCAAAGCCTGAGCCTGGGGATGCTGAGGAGGATGGACACAAGACCTGAAGTGCAGAACAGACCCATGCCTTGCAAGAGTGTGGGAACGTCCACCGAGGCCTAGGCCGATTTTACTACCAGGAAGGATGGGGTGTTCATTTTTTTTCCCCCTTTAAACCTTAGAATCCTGTTTTTAGAAACCTCTCTGCCAACTGGCCGGCCGCTGGCAAGCAGCGAGAGTGTAGGCGTGACGGCCCTTTCCCCCCACTGTCCTTCCCACAGCCCTACGCAGGCGGGACCCCCGGGGGCCCGGGAGTGACCTCCACTCTGCCCCCGCCGCCCCAAGGCCCAGGGCTGGCTCTGTTAGAGCCCAGGCGCCCGCCGCACGACTACATGCCCATCGCCGTGCTGACCACCATCTGCTGCTTCTGGCCTACAGGCATCATCGCCATCTTCAAGGCCGTGCAGGTGTGTGGGGCGGGGGCGGACAGGAAAAGCCTAGGCAGACCCGGGATTCCTTAGCCCAGGCCATTCTGGGCATATTCTTAGAGGGAGGCTGCGACCGGTGAGCCGTGGCCCTCTGACCCTCTTCCCGCATCCCTCCCCGACAGGTGCGCACGGCCTTGGCCCGCGGAGACATGGTGTCCGCCGAGATCGCTTCACGCGAGGCCCGGAACTTCTCATTCATCTCCCTGGCCGTGGGCATCGCAGCCATGGTGCTCTGTACCATCCTCACGGTCGTCATCATCATCGCCGCCCAGCACCACGAAAACTACTGGGACCCCTAAACACGTTCCCATCTCGGCCCCACTCTGTGCCCCCCAACCTCCCAGGCGCGTCGTGCCGTCCTGCCGCCTACCCAACGCGCGCCCTGCACATCCTCCTGTGGCCGCCGGACTTCCAGACATCATAAACTCCGCCCCCTCGGAATCTCTGGCCCAGCGAGTACGCTCCGAATCCAGTTCCTCAGGAACCTCTCCAAAGCCCACATCCCCAGCGGCACTGGAATCCAGGCCAAACACCGAGTCCCGAGTCGCCCCAGTTCCCCAGCCCATCAAAGTGCAATGCCGGGGGCGGAGCTCTCCTGGTCTCCGATCCCCGGTAGGGAGTCAGGTCCCCGAAGCTCCGCCTCCTCTATAGGCCCCGCCCCAACTCCCACAAACCCCGCCTCCAGGTCGGCAGGCTCCGCCTTCTTTTCTTCCTTGCGGGGTGATTTAGTCTGTTGATTGGGTATTTGAATTCAGGCCCAGCCTACAGACGGACAGACGGACGCTTACCCCTACCCCTCTAAGAGGACTCAGCCCTGGGAGAACTGCAACCCTACTCTGGTTCGGATTTTTGCCAATGCGGATTTCTCTTCTCCGCCGGGGTTTCTACCTATTTTCCTGCTAATTCCAGAACTCCTGTTTTGTTGGTTTTGGAGTGAGATGTGGGAAGTTTCTGGTTTTAGTACCCCTCACCCTGGAAAAAGAACCAAGTCCCTGCAATGTAAATACTCTTTCTAGCTGTGCCAACCCCTGGGCAGCGGGGCAGAAGGATTCAGGAAGGGAGCCTGCGCACCCCGCTCCTCTCAACCCTAGACTTGTTTTGATCTGTGTGTGCGTGTGTGTGAACTTCCGAAAGACGGTATTAAAGACACTTTAGTGGATTTATCACCCGCAGTTCCAGAGTTCGGAGAACACCCTGGCGTTCCGTTCCCTTTTCACTTTTCATCTTGTTTTTTTTTTTTTTTTCCTCCGCGAGGGAGGGGAGCGGGGCTGGCCGGCAAAAGACAAAAGCGGAAGGAGATAGTTTCCTATGACAGCAGAGAAAAGAGGGTCCCCAGCCAGGCTTGCTGTAGGTCAAAGCTACACTCTACTTTATATAGAAAGTTAGAGGTCATTCTGTGCTGTGTTAAACCTTAGCTCAAAAGAGAGAAGAAACCAGACCGGAGAAGACCTGGAGGGTCGTTCTCAATCCTGCTTTCCCGCTCCCCTCTGGAATGGGGACCGGAGACTTCTGGAAGGAAGAAGGTGGTAGACCAGTTAGGCTGATCAAGGCTGGGGTGACAGGGACAAGGGGAGAACACCACAGGCCCGCAGGGTCCCGGGTGAAGGCAAGCTCAGGCAAGGAGCAGAGAGCTGTGGGGACCCTGGGGAGAGCGCTAACGGAGCCCCTACACCTGGCTAATTGCCCCAGCTCACCCTAAGCCTGTCGATAGCGGGGCCTCTGTGAGAGGGGATGGGGACAAGCGGAGCGGGTGTCTGGTTTCACAGCACACATGGAGAACAGGGTGTCACCCAGCTTTGTTCATTCATAAGGCACCGCCAGGACACACAGGGAGGCTGGTGAGATATGCTCAGACCAGGCTGTGACCCCAAATCCAGACAGAAAACCTTGCACTGAGGTGGGGTGGGAGAGGCGGAGGCACTGGTATCACAGGTTCCCCTTGGGACGTTTCAGGTCTAACATACCTTCCCTAATGATAGCTCTTTTTCTTAAAGATTTATTTTTATTTTATTTATTGTCTGCTCTGGAGTGTATACAAGAATGTGTGCGGATGCCCACCAAGGCCCTCCGGTACGCTGCTGGAGTTACAGGTGATTATGAACCACCTGCTGTGGGTGTTGGGACCCGAACTCAGGTCCTCTGAGAGAGCAGCCTCCACCAAGGCTCTTGGAGGATTTCTTGTGTGCAGCATTTCCTTCCTCACACCCTGAACGGCTTTCCTCTTGGGTTGGAAAGCGTCTGTGTGACTCTGTCTTTCTTTCCTGCCTCCTTGAAATGTACTTCCGTTCCTCACACTGCCAGAATCTCAAATAGCCAGTGATTACACTGCACAAAATTAATGATGTTTTCAAAATATTCTGCTTCTCCCAGCCCTTTTGTGCCTGCTTTGTCTGTCCGCCTGCCCACCCCCACCCTCGATTCATTTACTTATTTTGAGACTGTGTCTCATGTAGCTCAGTTAAACTCACTGTGTACCTGAGGTAACCTTCAACTCCTGAAATACTTCTTCCCCCTCCCAAGTGCTGGAATTACAGGTGTGTGTCACCATGCCTCAGGCACACCTGTCTCTTGACTGGGAATTCTCTATACCTCCAGGCTCAGTGACATGTTGTCTCCTCCCCAGACATGTCACTAATAATCCCTCTTTCTCCCCTTCCCCAGATGTCTATCTCCAGATTTTATTTTTCATCTCTGGGGCTTTCTTTTGAAATCTCATCCACTTGCTAGGCGGTGGAGGCACAAGATTTTAATCCCAGCATCCTGAAAAACCAGAAGAAACAAAAAAGAAAGAAAAGAAATCTCACCCACTCAACACAGGCACTTCCATCCCTCCCTCCATCTATCCATCTATCTATGATGCAGAGGTCACAGTATGTAGCACGGGCTTCCTTCAAACTTGCAATCAAGCTGCCCCAACCTACCACCACCCACACACACAAATTCTAGAGTTACAGGTCTCTACTACCAAGCCAGGAATTCTGTTTATTCTATTTTCTGTTGTTTTAGTTTGGGGGCTTTTTTTGTTGTTGTTGTTGTTTTTGTTTTTGGTTTTGGTTTTAGTTTTTCGAGACAGGGTTTCTCTGTGTAGCTTTGGTGCCTGTCCTGGATCTCACTCTGTAGACCAGGTTTGCCTCAAACTCACAGAGATCCGCCTGGTTCTGCCTCCCTAGTGCTGGGATTAAAGGCATGCACCACCACCACCCGGCAAACAAGAAACTTTCTTTTTTTTTTTCAGAGCTGAGGACCAAACCCAGGGCCTTGTGCTTGCTAGGCAAGCACTCTACCACTGAGCTAAATCCCCAACCCTGGGTGCCTTTTTGTTTGTTTGGTTGGTTGTGGATTTTGGGGTGTGTGTGTGTGTGTGTGTGTGTGTGTGTGTTTCGTTGTTATTGTTGTTTTGTTTGAGATGGGGTTTCTCTGTGTAGCCTGGCTGTCCTAGAACTTGCTCTGTAGACCAAGCTGGCCTCGAACTCAGAGATCTGTCTATCTCTGCCTCCAGAGTGCTGGGATTAAAAGTATGTGCCTCGCCGGGCGGTGGTGGCGCACGCCTTTAATCCCAGCACTCGGGAGGCAGAGGCAGGCGGATCTCTGTGAGTTCGAGGCCAGCCTGGTCTACAGTGCGAGATCCAGGAAAGGCGCAAAGCTACACAGAGAAACCCTGTCTCGAAAAACCAAAAAAAAAAAAAAAAAGTATGTGCCTCAACTGAGCGGTGGTGGTGCACACCTTTAATCCCATCACTCGGAGGCAGAGGCAGGCGGATCTCTGTGAGTTCAAGGCCAGCCTGGTCTACAGAGTGAGTTCCAGGACAGCCAGGACTGCTACATAGAGAAACCCTGTCTCAAAACAACAAAAACAACAAAAAAGTATGTGCCCCCAGGGTGGGGGGCGCGCGGGGGGGGGGGGGGGGGGGGGGGGGGGGGGGGGGAGACAGCTTGACCACACAGCTGCCATGACAGGCTTAGGGGCCTAGACACAGTTTCTGTGACAAGCAAAACCCAGATCCAGTTAAAGTCTTAAGCTGACACCACCTAGAGATCCACCCAGGGATGGGGAAGTACCTGACATCTCAAACATTCCAACCATTAGATAAGGTGGCCAGATGTCCCTGAGTCTAGCACATACCTGTTTTTGTTTTACAGACACCCCTAGACAATTGTCAGCCAATCAGGGTCCTGAACCCTGAAAATCCCTTCACCCCAACCTCTGCTATGATAAAAACCCTACCCTGCCTGGGCTTAGGGCTCTCTGCTCACTGCTGTGTTGGACAGACAGAGGGACCAAGCCCTGGAGCTTGAAATAAAGGCTCTTTGCTTTTACATTCAGATTCGGTCTCCATGGTGGTCTTCTGGGGGGTCCCCGAGATCTGGGCATAACAAAAAGCTGGTCAGGGAGTCACAGCTCAGAAGGGAAGAAGATTGCTTGATCTGAAGAGTCCAGTCTGGCTGTCTCTGTCTGTAGTGGGCTGTAAAGCCAAGACCTCACAAATGCTAGGTAGGTGCTCTGCCACCCAGCTACCTCCCCAGCCAAAGAGGTGGAAATAAAGGATTTCAGAAACCAGGTCTGGTGGTATAGGCCTGTAGTTCTACCTGCTGGGAAGGCTGAGGTAAGAGAATCATGCGTGTAAGGCCTGCCTGGCGTGGTGGTGCACAGCACTTGGGAGGCAGAGCCAGGAGGATCTCTGTGAGTTCGAGGCCAACCTGGTCTACAAAGCGAGTTCCAGAACAGGCACCAAAGCTGCACGGAGAAAGCCTGTCTCGGAAAACTAAAAAAAAAAAAAAAAAAAAAAAAATCCTCTAGTCAAAAAAATAAAAAAAGGATCTCTGTTTTATGTGATGGAAAAGTCCCACAAATGGACAGTAGTATCAGGACATAATATCTTGAATATAAAAAATCAATACAATTAATGTAATTAATGAATAACATAAATATAATTATTGAATGAATACTGCAAATGTAATCAATGAATACCACAAATGTAATTAATATCATGAGTGTAATTAATGAATATCATGAGTGTAATTATAAATAAATAAATAAAAATAGGCAGAAAGAATGTGGAATGCCCATAAACCTACCAAAAAAAAAAAAAAAGCTGGACGTCATGATGCATATCTGTAATCCCAGGACTGTTATTTTGGGAGTGGGGCAGTGGAGACAGGAGAATCATTTGGAAGTTTCCACCAGCTGCCCAGGAGCACGAAGCACAGCAGACACAAGAGACACCCTGCTTCCAAGGTCTCCTGACCTCCACACCGTGACGTGCAAGCACATCTACACACACATAACAACAATTTTTTGAAAGACGTGTGGGTTGCAGAGGAATTTCAAAATCACTTAAACATCTTAATGAAACCCTGTCTCAAAATAAAAAGTGAGGGGAAGGGAGTGGGCTTGGGGTAACATTTCAACGGGGCACACTGCACAAGGCCCAAGGGTGTTTTTGTTGTTGCTGTTTTAGTTTTTCGAGACAAGGATTAAAGGCCTGCAGCACCACAGGAGCCTGAAAACCTCTCACCCAGGCTGGGAGAACGGGACACTAATGATACCACTAACTACATCAGCAGTGAAAGGCCCTGGGTTTAATCCTTGCTGAAGAGTCAGAAGCCCTTCAGAATTACTTATTGCTTATTCAATTATTTCCCAAATTACAGTCTGTCTGTATACTTCATAATTGAGACTGCCCACGGTTCCTGTCCAGCCTTCGTCATGCTCACCTTGGGGTGTTTAGGCGGCAGCACCCAAAACCTCAGGCCTACTTCTCTGTCTGTGCCAGGCATGAATCAAACCGCTTGACGTTTATTGTGAGTGTCCAACCACCCCTAGGCTCTAGGCCACCCTTAGGCTTTCTCCAATATGCATCTGCACTTATTTATTTCCTGTCCTTCAAGGCCCAAATCAACTCACCCCTCACTCACCACACAAGGCTCTCTAAGTTGAGATCCCTGAGCTGGAGGGGAGCATTTTTGAAGCCCAAAGCTCAGGTGACATTCTTTGGCTTGAAATCAGAATCTCTGGGTAGGGGAGACTCAGGTGTCAATATTGTGATATCCCCAGAGGATTCTAAAGAGCATCCAAGGCTGGGAGTCACCTCAGAGACCACCCAAGAAGGAGAATCTGAAAGGTGCTTCAACCCGGAAAACCTTTTTTTTTCTTTCTTTCTTTCTTTCTTTC